TTTAGCTTTAGCTTTTTTTTCACAGTTCATTTTAATGAAAAAAAAAGGAAGGGGGTATAAAATAAAATTGTTACTGGTGAAGGACTCCACCAATAACTATTGATTGCATTATTTACAGGGAGAGTAACTGCACGGACGTGAAACTAGAAACAGAAAACCGAATCAAGTCGTTGGTCAATGATCATAAATTAAAGGTATGTGTCTACCACGAAGGCAACAAAACTGACTGATAGTATACACAAATAATGTTCTGCAAAGTTTTTTAATGATTTCAATGTGAGGTTATTTGTAATATGTGTGTGACAGTGGCATGAGAAAATTTGTACATGGAGTTCCATAACAAATGTTCAATACCAATGTTAGTGATATTTGTCACACAGAAAGTTGCATTTAGAATTAAATCTATCATTTTTCATAGATCAGATGAAACACCATGATCATCATTTTTGATCTTATCAAATCCATGTGGACTGGTTTACCATTCAAATTGGTTGACTAATAGTTTTCTTTGTTGCACTTGCAACATAGACAGATTTTGGCACATGGAAGGCATTTAACAAGAAATTATGTCATGAGAAAGTTTTTTTCTTCTTTCTCTAGGTGAAGGGTATTGTGGCTGACCAGACTAATGAATGGACCACCATGATTGCAAAACACAGCATGGACTACAGCGAGCTTTTAGAACGACAAACTCATCAGCTTTGTGACTTGCTTAAAAAATTGATGATACAGAAGCATGAAGAGCAGCAGCAACTGATAGATTTCTTTATTGAAAAGTGAGGGCGCTCTCCATTTTGCTTGAGCCATTATTTATTATAAATATTATACTATTTAAGGTTTTAGGAAGGATTTTGAAGTTGTTGTTATCATTATAATACTGTGTTTGTGTGTAAACAGGTTTTCATGCGATTCATATTAGCTTCAATAAACAAGAATAAGAGCCAAAAAAATGAAAATCAGCCAAAAATGTTATTTATAAAGTTAGTTCTGAATATTTGCATTTTGAAATTAGAAAACTCAAGAATTTTAATGGTATTATAATAATTTTAATGACAAATTTGAATGGCATAATTTTTCCCGCCAACATTTTAGCGCAGCCTATTGCAAATTTGTATGTAAATTGATATACTATGTTGTTTATTTTTACACAAAATTAGACATAATGTCTATTTGCCTAAAGGTGTAGATTTACCATTTTGACCAATTTCAGCAGATTTATTTCGTGAAAGGTGACAACAGTTTACGTTGAGCTCAACAAATTTAAATAAGTTGTGGAATAATGTTGATAATTTAGGTAAAATGTAATACAAACACTTAACTTACTGCTTTTCTGTCTTTATCATTATTATGTTCATTATAAGTTCTTTGTTGAATTTTTTCAAACAAAATATTGTTAAAAAGTAACTTACATTAAATTACTGATAATTTTATGTGGAAAACATGCCTTTGATTATTTTTTTTGTATCTGTTTTCAGAGAAGGCAAAGAAATGAGATCAAATCAAACCAAAACATCCATGGAGAGCATAAAGCAAGTCAATAGCGACAAGTCAATCAAAAACAAAGCAGAGAAGGACAGGTAACGACTCGTAACAAAAAACGCTTGAATTTCATGATTAACGTGGAAAACATGAAACTTGTCGCAAAGAAATATTCACTTGAGCACAGGAGTCATTTTCACAACATTTTAACCTCTCATGAACAGCCATAAATTATAAAATGATGACAAACTACAACAATGAAAATGTTTGTTTTCATTATGACAGTGTTAACGTATGCAGTATTGAATAAGAATAATTTAAAACAATTGATTCTTTACTTACGTTCTTTATATGGTGAGTTGTTGCTTGAAAAGTCAGTTTTATATCCATTGAGCCAGCTACACTATTGTTGCCATGGCAATGATTAACTGGATTGGTTTCATTCAGAGTTGAAATTACTCAACTTGACATTATTCTTTTTCTTTGACAGGAGAATACGTGAACTTCAAAGTAACAACACAAAGAAATTTATGGAAGAAAGGAAAAGGGTGAGTTTTATTACTTTGCTGGAACTTTAATAAAGAACATTTGAACATGGTGGAATTTTCCAGACTAAACGTGTGTATGTCATTCTCTGTGTATTCAACTACCTTCTAGAAAATCATGTTTATTACTAAAATTACACACATGCCCACAAGTTGTGAATCCTTTTGTTGACTTTTTTTTCTCCATTCTGTTAAAGTGACGCATCTTTGTTTTGAAATTACAGCTTGCCATGAAACAAGATAGAGAGAAGGAACAGCTAAAGAAACAACAGGATGAAGATATGGAAAGGTTACGGAAAGAAAATGAGAAGGTACAAAACAAATGTATGATATCTTAAAATTTGCAGTGACTGGACCTCTACACAGTGACTGGAATTCTACACAGTGACTGGTCCTGTACACAGTGATTGGTTCTGTACACAGTGACTGCACCTGTACACAGTGACTGGTCCTGTACACAGTGACTGGTCCTGTACACCGTGACTGGTCCTGTACACCGTGACTGGTCCTGTACACCGAGACTGGTCCTGTACACAGTGATTGGTCCTGTACACAGTGACTGGACCTCTACACAGTGACTGGACCTCTACACAGTGACTGGACCTCTACACAGTGACTGGTCCTGTACACAGTGACTGGTCCTGTACACCGTGACTGGTCCTGTACACCGTGACTGGTCCTGTACACCGTGACTGGTCCTGTACACCGAGACTGGTCCTGTACACAGTGATTGGTCCTGTACACAGTGACTGGACCTCTACACAGTGACTGGTCCTGTACACAGTGATTGGTCCTGTACACAGTGACTGGACCTCTACACAGTGACTGGTCCTGTACACAGTGACTGGTCCTGTACACAGTGACTGGTCCTGTACACAGTGACTGGTCCTGTACACAGTGACTGTTCTTGCACACAGTGACTGGTTCTGTACACAGTTAACAAAATCATCATTCATTTGTGTTTTCAGATGATTGAAATGCAACGACAGGAAGCAGAAGAAGCCAAGTTAGCAATGAAGCCTGAAGCTGTTGTATAATAAGCACAAGAAACAAGAATCTTAATTACAAGTCATTATTAATCTAAGCAATGTGGCTACTAAACCATCAAGTAACAACATTACAAAAATACAAAACATTATTTAAAGCAGCCATTGATTCATTTGAATATTTTTACTTTTAAAATAAATCAATACCCTCTAAGTTTAATGCCTTATTGTTATATTAAAATTGTAATATCTGTATAATTCAGCTAATGAGCATTCCAGAATATGAAAGGAAAAAAAAAGGACTTTTTTTTAGATTTAAAATTAGTTTGTAATTTTTATTTATCATTTCGCGGTGATAATTTGGCTGCCACGTGTATGTCATTCTAAGGTCATACATTCCTGTGTTTCAATATATGGCCAGTGAGTGGTTTTATTCTTCGGAACTTGTTTGTTCCAGAATCAAATTTGAGTTCAGCTTGATGGCATATGGCAGATAAGTTATCTGATATGAAGTGCGTGTGCCTGTGTGTGTGTGCAATTCAGATTAGTTTTTACATGATATTACCGGTATTTTTTTCAAGACCTGATTACTCCCTAAACCTCTTCCTCCTTGACCTCCTTTAATACAAGATACATGACCTTTTTCATGAAAGATACAAATTGCATGCATTATCAGTTTTAGTTGGATGCCTGAATTTGAACTTTCCAGTAAAT